TACATAGAATGACACCAAATTCGAGGAATTATGCGCCATCACTTCATCGCACTTTTGTTGAACAGAAGGAGTGTCGAGCCGACATTGTATTTTAATGCAATGGGTGCGTCCAGGGCGGCGTGCAATGTGTGCATATTTTTTGCTTTTGCCAACAAGCAAGGCAAAAGTAAATTAAATCTAGAATCATATTTAGTACAAAATTTAACGGGCTATTAAATGCTACTAATTATTCGAAGAATTAAAACAACATCTCGTCGCAGATTTCAATTTGCTTATTCGTTAATATTTCCCAGGTTACCTATTCGGCATTGCTGGCCTGACAACAATAATCTTCGAGTTCGCACCAAGTTTTCATATCGATGCGGAAAATGAAATGTCGATTCTAGATGGTTGTGCAATAAAGCATTCAATTCTACACAGTATGGCACCGTTGAAAAGGATAAATCGGCTATCACTTCACCGCACTATTTGTGGAACAAAAGGATGTTATATAGTTTCGCGAGGGGAGTGGGGCCCCGCCACGAACGATGTATGCCGTTCGTTTGTTTGCTGCTAATAAACAAGGGAAAAGTACCCTAGTTCTTCATATAGAATCACTTCCTAGAATATATATTCTACGGGCTATCAAATGATATTAGTTCGAAGAACAAAAATGGTATATCGTTGAATATTTTATTTTCCCCTATATACCTAGGTACCTATCGGAATTCGAACGCTCATAGAGCATTACTTGCCAGACCTGCAAATACAAAGTCTGGCCAACAAAGCACCATGAATCTCCAAATGAAGACAAAAAGAAAATGACGTCTGCGGCCAGATACCAGTCTCATTCTTGTAATAATTAGTATCATTGAATAGCTAGCAAAATTTATTCCAGGACGAAATTCTACAAACTAATTATTGTTACGTTTGTTGGCAAGAAACATCAGTCGGCATATATTCGCACGCGGGACTCGCCACGCTCCCGTCACGAAAATATGCGACATCGTTTTGTTTCACAAATGTGCGAAGGAGTTCCATCATATTTTTTCCTTTTTAATAACATTGTACTGCGTAGAAATTAGTGCTTTATCGACCAGCTATCTAGAATCGACATTTTATTTTGCACGTCAATAGGAAAACTTGATACTGAAACTCAAAGTTTATTGTTGTCAGGCCCAGCAATGCGGAATGCCGAATGAGCCGCGAACTATGAACAAGAAAGTTGAAAGGCTGCAACAAAACAGCGTTCTTGTTCTTCGAATAATAAATAGCATTAGATAGTTCATGAAACTTAGTATCATGCATGATCTTGATTCAATTTATCGCTCCCTTTCTTCTTGGCAAAAGCAACAAATCTGCACACAGTACACGCCGCTCTGATAGGCTCCCATTGCGTTAAAGGGATTATCCCACCTTCTAAAATGTTGTTAAAACCAGTTAAATTGTGCCCGACTTTATAGATTGGTTGACCAGGAACACGGTTCTGGCATTTATTTTTCATTAAACATCTTAGGCTTCCCATATTCCAAACACAAACTTTCAAGTATGTGACGTCACAGCCCAAAATTACCTCCTTCCCCAGGCCACATTACTGTCATAAAGCTGATTCTTTTTACTCTGTAGGCACCACAACAAAGTTCAGACCAAGTTTTAAGCGATTTTTCAACGAACAACCCCATTTAAATCAGAATGACTAAACGAGGTGACGTCACACTAACGGTCGCTCCATGTTGAAGATAGGGCCTTGTACAAGGCCCATTTTCAAATGAAGGGAACGAATTTCTTCAACACCAAGAGGCCGCGGGGGTTGCAACCTAGATAGATAGTGATTTCTGAACCTCGCCGCAAACTTGGCTATCTCAACTCAAACCCCATGTTAAAGGTGGGATAGTCCCTTTAATATGCAATGACGGCCCTTCTGTTCCACAAAACATGCGATTAACCCTCGCCGGCACAGGCCATTTTGAGTCCTTCGACAGCACAAGGGGGGGGGGGAGGTACGACCCTGTACGACCCTGTGCCGGCGAGGGTTAAACTATGTGGGATTGTCCCTTATTTTTAGTGTCATTTTGTGCAGAATTGAACGCTTTATCAAAAGCTTGTCAAAAATCGACATTTTATCGTGCATGTCGATAACAAAATCAATAGAAACGTAGGTCTGGCTAGCAATGCTCCATGGGCCTCCAAATAAAGATACGTAGGGAAAATGAAATCTGCGACGAGGTATCCTCATTCTTCGAATAATTATTGTCATTGAATAGCCCGTAAAATATTTTCCCGGATGTGATTTTAAAACCAATATATTCTTCCGTTGGTTGTTGGCCAAATACAATCAAACATGGGGTTCATCGTTCACGGCCACGCCCTGCTCTCATCGGGGAAATATGCAGCGTGGCTTTGTTCCACAACTAGTGCCGTGAAGTGATAGCAGAGTTCCCTTTTAATAGCGCCATACTGTGAAGAATTGAGCACTTTATCGGACACCTTCTTGACCTAGAATCGGTCGATTGCATTGTGCGTGTCAACATGAAACTTGACATAACTCGAAGTTTATTGTTATCAGGCCCAGCAATGCAGAATGAGCCGTGAACACTGAACTATGAACGAGTAAGGAAATTGAAATCTGTGACGAGATGTTATTTTGATGTTTCGAATACCTAATTAGTACTTAGTAGGTGCCAGTGAATGACCCGTTCGGACAAGATTCCAGATTCAAATTGTTATTGCTCTGCTTCTTGGCAAAAGCAATAAGTCTGCACACATCATAGGCCATAGTGCACGCTCCCATTGCTATAACATGCCGTAACATGCAATGCAATGTCGGCTGGACATTCCCTCTGTTACACAAAAAGTGCGATGAAGTGATGGCAGATAATCTCTTGAATTTAGTGTCATTCTGTGCAGAATTAAACGCTGTATCGAATGCTAGTCTAGAATCATATGTCAATGGTTTCTGTCAATGCAAAATTGCACTGCAAACTTGAATTTTCTCATGGGACCGGCCGCCGGCAGGCCGAGCGTCACGTGACCCCAATCTCAGGACCCGGTCAAGGTCACATGGCCCGAGTACAGTTAGTAGTTCCCAGATTCGCCGCCAGAGTAGCGCCACTTGGAACGGAATAAAAGAATGCTACATTGCGCGGTAGACTTTTAAAATGAACTTGAATATTTCTTCTTTGCCGACAGAACCCCAATGTCCCCGCTTGCATTGCTCTTGGACCCTAACGCAGCTGCTGTGCTGAGCCCTGTTCGGGCAGCGCATCCTACTGCAAAATTTTGCACCACGCATGCGCAGTAGGGGTCTCTCGGGTGCCAGGCTTCACCCTTCGGCCTATGACGTCACATATGTGACGTCGGCAAGCGCAAAATCTTTCAGTTTTGCGCAACAAGAAAATAGTAGCTGCAGGAGGCGAAAGTGGCGCGAATTAAAGTTTACCGTCCTATATTTCTTATTGTAAGTGGTTTGAATGCCGTATTTTGGGTATCATTATCACTTTTTTCAGTGGCACATTGCTAATGACCACATTTGAACGCATTTTATTCAGTTTTTGAACGAAAACCACCAGTCCATCGGCGCCACGGTTCGTCACGCGTCGAATAATGGCTGCCGCGGCCGCCGCGGCCCTCGGCTCTGGCGGCCCGGCGGAGAGTGGGCGGAGCCAGTGGCTGACGTCATCCAAGTGTGCCGTCACACGCTGCAAAATATTTTGCGCGGAGCCGAACAGCACTCTGTTGTCAGCCGAGAAACGCTCACTCTATTGGCTAAAAAATTGATGACGTCATGTTGCACTTGCAACATGACGTCACCTCTCTGCTGACGGCAGCATGGGCTGATGAGCTGTGCTGCTAGGAGAAAGCAAGTGCAGAGATGCCGAGCCGTCATCAGAAGCCATATATGACGCATTTAGACACTGGTAGTGGCGCATGTAAACAAATCACGTGCCACATTTTTACTGAGTACTGCAGATAAATGAAAATTCGACACTGTATTGACGCTTTTCACGTAATTTTCTTTTCATAATTATTTATCAGTGTAAGAAGAGTAAATATTTCTATTGCATCTTATATGTAAATATGCTGATAATATACCTAGCTATCAAAACATTGTATTAATAAAAAACATGAATATGAGACAATATATTTGTTTACAAAGCCACATTTGTAGACAGTCAGCCACTGCTGACATTTCTCATCAGCCGAATGTGTACAACTCCGTCAGCCAGAAACGGTGGGTGGAGCCTATTTCGGCTGACAACAGCACAACAGCTGAATGTGTACAGGGCCCAAATAAAGTCGCTAGGAACAGCGGAGATCCCAAAAGTAAACAAAAGTAAAAGTCTAATATCTTGAAAACCGGTGAACATTTTTCGGTGAAATTTGATAGATATTCGTTTTCGCTCTTTCTGAACCGAGCGACATCACTTTCATGCCAATTCATAAACTTTTTTGAAGGTGGGAGGGTCCCTTTAAAGGAAATAGTTCACTTTTTAACATGGGTTTTGAACTGGAATAGCAGTTCCGTAGCCTGGGCTGAGACGAGCATAAATCAGGAGCTTTTACAGCCCAACGATCACCCTAGGCAAAGATATTCTATTTCTCGTCCCGAAAAAGGTGTCGATGTGTGCCTTGCATATATTCGCATCCAGTATGAAAAGAGCATGGGTACCGAAAATTCTTCAGAAACTAGAGAAATTATCTACGAGAACTCTAGAGAAATTCTCGTACTGATCAATAAGGACATTCAGCAGCAGCAGATCGCCCAAATGCCGGTGGCCGCGATAATTTCTCTAGTTTCTGAAGAATTTTCGGGACCCATGCTCTTTTCATACTGGATCGCCTGTGCCTTACAGAAACTGAAAAGTTCTTCCTATATCAAAATATAGAAAATAATCTTTTGTTATAAATAGGTTTTATTTTCTTCGCTGATCATTTTGAACATAAAAAATCATAAATCCATTGCAAAAAAAATAATTTCGTGAAAGTGAACTATTTCCTTTAAGTCCTATCGATATTTGCAGACATGTGGACCAGACCTGACAAAGAATTTCGACGACATCAAGCACACCACGCTGAGCGAACGAGCCGCGCTCAAAGAGGCCAGCCGATGTCTGAAGTGCGCCGACGCGCCCTGCCAAAAGTCGTGCCCCACCCAGCTGGATGTCAAGGCGTTCATCACCAGCATTGCAAACAAGGTGGGTCAGCTGCCTGTGTTGTTAAACTACTACCATGCATAAACGTCGTTTTTATTTCATTTGTATTCATGGTATTTTAGGCTCACAGCCTCTTGGACAAAAGGCCCAACTTGATCTATGGTCCTCGACTACGACCTTGAGCTGAGTTCTTGGCCTGCAACGTTCTCTCTCGTTGAAAGGTGGGCTGTGTTCGCGGCGCAGGCGACGAAGATTATTTGCCATACGGCCTTGAAATGCGTTGCAGCGCGCGAGAGCGGCTCAAGAGTACCACTGCCGGGCCAGTTTGGGTTCAGCGGGCGGATCTGCGTCGGCGGACTCCAATTGGCACAACAGGCCGTGATTGGTGCCATCATAGCCGCCCCTCCGTTCACCGAAGTGGACCCCGGGCTGTTGCGGTGGGATACTGATGACTCTCAGTATCGGGGATGCGGCAGACATTCTTCCTTTATGTGTAGGACCGCAAGAGACGGCCGCTGCGCCGTCTCTTGCTTTTTGTCTTCGTCCCAGTCTTATAACCTACTGCCTGCATTGTCTCTCCCTACAGAACTTTTACGGCTCGGCGCGTCAGATTCTGTCTGACAACCCGCTGGGCCTCACATGTGGCATGGTGTGCCCCACGTCGGACCTGTGTGTCGGCGGCTGCAACCTTCACGCCTCAGAGGAGGGGCCGATCAACATCGGCGGCCTGCAGCAGTTCGCCGTGGAGGTGAGTCCGTTATAGACCGAGAGACTGTGGTTATGGGGCCGTGAGTCTGTGAGCCCTGAGGCCGAAAGTTCGTGAGCTCGTAACTTTGCACGTAACGTAAGCACGTGAGCCCGTAAGGTTTTGAGCATGTGAATTCGTAAACTTGTAAGTTCATGTACTGTGAGTTCGTGGTTCTGTCAGTCCGTGCGCTGGTGAGCCGGGCCAGTCAGTTATTTTTTCATAAGACCGTTACTATCTACTAGTCGAGTGTTCAGTCGGCGGCCGCCCGTCCCGCCGCACCGCATCAAGGACACCCTCGAATGCAGGGACGCGGCTCGGCGGCCCAATTCCCCACAGGAAGGAACGGACTACATCCGCTGGTGCATCCGTACTGTATAACTGTATTGTACGCGGCTCTGGCTCCCGCCGAAACTTGGACTAAAGTACGAGTTTCTTCACTCAATGTATGTACTAAAATGTAGTGTATTGTAGGCTGCAGCATATGTAGCTTGAAGCCGTCATTATAGCCGCAATGTAACTGGCTTCTGGGATGGATGAGCCCACTTATAATGAGCAAAGCTGATTCTAAAGCCGATCAGCAGCGGGTCCACCATCATACAACCCCTACCACTCTGCACTCAGGTGTTCAAGAAGATGCGTCTGAGCCAGGTGCTGCCTCCCGAGGTGGCCACCGCCGCCGACCAGCGTCCCCCCAGCTACTCGGCGCGCGTGGCCCTGCTCGGCTGCGGCCCCGCCTCTATCAGCTGCGCCACTTTCCTCGGACGGCTTGGCTACACGGACGTCACCATCTTCGAGAAGAACGAGTATATTGGAGGACTCAGGTAGGTGATCATGCCTCGTATACGCTAGTCGGCCGCAGAAATTATGTCTTCATGCCTGTCTTATAACGCTCTCAGGTGCATTAATGTATCTATCATATAGTCGGCCTCAGATAGACTCACGACTCTCGGAATGTAAGAGAGATGCCATGAAAGTTCATCTTGAGGGCCGATGAGAGTCAGACTTTTTCCATTCTGTCCATTTTTGCGGTTGGATTTCTGAGACAATAAAGCACCAATAACTGTTTCTTTCGCCGCAGTTCGTCGGAGATTCCGCAGTACCGACTGCCGTACGACGTGGTCGACTTTGAGGTGGAGCTAATGAAGGACCTGGGTGTCAAGGTGGTGACCGGCAAGGCACTCGCCGAGAACGACCTCACCGTCAAGGTCAGCGCCCGGTCATCCAGACGCCAGTCCCGCTAAATGCTGTGCATTTCCTAGACGGGTCATTTAGAGAATCAGTTAGCTCCATCTTACCGGGTCCCTTAGCTCCATCATTGCTTAACTAGGAAGTTGTTTACTGGAATTCAAGAGAAATCGATGCTTTCGTTATTCCTTGTCGCCTTCAACATATAAGTGCCTTACATAACTTTCCTGATGAACGGTGTCTTTACAGGGGCTTCAAGCGGAGGGATACGAGGCCATCTTTCTGGGTATAGGTCTGCCTCAGCCCAAAAAGATCCCGATATTTGAAAATCTGACGGAAAGCATGGGCTTCTTCACCTCCAAAGATTTTCTGCCGAAAGTGGCAGCCGGCAGCAAAGCAGGTTTGTAAGTGGATGCAGCTGCTGAGGTACAAAGCCTTCCTTTTTGCTTACATCCAAGGATTTTTTTATAAGAGAATCCCTACCTCAGATGGTTCAGCGCTAGACGAGCCGGCCTGGAAATATCGCTCAAGTGTTAACCTACATCGCTGACTTGTCAATCGATGACAGAACCGGTTCGTTACGGGGCTCAATGCCTCTGTACGGTGCGGTGAGGACAAAATGCAACAATTCAAGCAGCTCGCCTGAGCCGGACATCCTCCGTTCCCAGGTATGTGCAGCTGCAAGTCCCAGCTGCCGCAGCTCTCCGGTAACGTGATTGTGCTCGGCGCCGGCGACACGGCGTTCGACTGCGCCACGTCGGCGCTCCGCTGCGGTGCGCGGCGCGTCTACGTCGTCTTCCGCAAGGGCTTCACCAACATCAGGGCCGTGCCCGAGGAGGTGGGTTTAGAGCGAATCTGTTTGGTAGAGCGCTTTTCATAATTCATATGGTATTTGGACTGTGGGCAAAAAAGGATCTAATGTTGCTTCCTGTCACATCAGCTATGTAAAGATACGTTTTTCCGCTGACGAAGCATGCAGTGAAATGATTATTCGAGACTCCAACCAATGACGCTTCTAAAATAACCGGTCTGCTGACGCTTGTTAGTAGCCTGTGTTCCCTCATATGATCGGGCCGCTGATACTTTTTTAGGTCTATGGTACATACCATACCCTGACCCGCGAAACTGATTGGTTCACTGACTCCATTTGCAGATGGAGCTGGCGCGCGAAGAACAATGTGAGTTCGTGCCGTTCATGGAGCCCAGCAAGGTGATAGTGCGTGACAACCGTATCACCGCTGTAGAGTTCTGCCGCACCGAACAGGACGACTCGGGCCGCTGGGTCACAGACAACGAGCAGACCAACCGGATCCGAGCCGACTTTGTCATCTCGGCCTTCGGCAGCGGCCTCAGCGACCCCGGTGGTGAGTCATTGTGAGCGGGTGAGCGGAAGGGTAGGGAAGGTGAGCTGAGAGTGGCGGTAAGTTGAAGCAGCACCGGAGGTGAGCAGGTATCAACAGGTAGCAGGTAATCAACTGGTGGAAAGGGAAGTGTGACGACTGACGAGACCATGGACTTCGGGGCATGCTTAATTTACTTGGAAGTTGTGCTACTCAGTACGTCTAGTCCTTTGGGGCCTGCCCACGGTCTTGGAGGCCTGACCGTTCCCTGTGACCGACCCTGCAGTTCAGGTAGCTATGGCGCCGGTGCGTCTGGACCGCTGGGGTCTACCTGAGGTCAACCCGGACACCATGGCCACCAGCGAGGAGGGGGTGTTTGCCGGCGGAGACCTGGCGGGCGTGGCCGAAACCACCGTGGAGTCGGTCAACGACGGAAAAACGGCCGCCTGGAGCATCCACCAGTACTTGCAGGTGGGTAGGAATGCAGGGATGAAGTGTAAGGATGATGGATAAAGCAGGCAAAAAAATGTATCGGATGGATCAGATTGATAAGAAAGATTGATAAGAGGACATTCGATTCTCACTAGATATAACGCAGATCAGACGATGCACTTAAATAGCCAGAATCGAACTGTGATGCGCCTATGATGATTCAGTTGTTAAATTCGGTGTGTCATATCCGTCGTTCTCAGTCGCTGCACGGCATCCCGATCCCGGCCCAGCCGCGGCTGCCCAAGTTCTACACGGCCGTGGACGCCGTCGACCTGAGCGTGGACATCTGCGGCCTGCGCTTCCCGAACCCGTTCGGCCTGGCCTCGGCGCCGCCCACCACCTCGGCGCCCATGCTGCGCCGCTCCTTTGAGGCCGGCTGGGGATTCAACGTCACCAAGACGTTCTCACTCAACAAGGTAGGCGGCGGGAACCCGATTTTCTGACGGACTCCTTCCCGAAAGGTCACTGACGACGGCGTAGTGAGTGTTCAAGCTCTCGTTTTTTTTTACAGTACTTCGTTTCAGTCCTTCAAAGTCGCGGTACAATCAAGGGATACGCAGGTTTCCGGCGGTTTGGGGAGACGTTCCGATGTGCCGGCACTGTGGCAGTTACCGTCCATATTTGCTCGTTAAATCGTGTGTGCTCAACAGGATCTGGTGACCAACGTGTCGCCTCGGATCGTGCGCGGCACCACCTCTGGACACACCTACGGACCCGGCCAGGGCTCCTTCCTCAACATCGAGCTCATCTCCGAGAAAACGTGCGAATACTGGTGCCGCAGCATCACCGAACTCAAACGGGACTTCAAGGAACAGGTGAGACTGTGAGGCGAGATTACCCCTCGAGAGTACTTCAGAGATGTAACCACTCTATGTTTAAGTAGGCTGTATAGTGTATGTTTAAGTAGGCTCGCCTCCGAGGTAATTGGTATCTACGTTAGTTTTCATACCAAGGTGAAAGACTTCCTCATATCTTGTTTCAAAACAAAATACTTTGTAATTGGCACAATGATGCGGACGTGGGCACGGGCACGTGATGTAAGCTCGCCGGTAGTCATGAGGACGAGTGCCTGACCCAGATCCTGCTATTCGGCAGGTCCTGATTGCCAGCATCATGTGCAGCTACAACGAGGAGGACTGGACGGAGCTGGCGCAGAAGGCCGAGGCGGCCGGTGCCGACGCCCTAGAGCTCAACCTCTCGTGTCCGCACGGCATGGGAGAGCGCGGCATGGGACTCGCCTGCGGTCAGGTGAGGGCGGACAGGACACGGCTTTGAGTTCGAGACTTCGCGTCACGATGGTCGAGACAGCTAGGAAAGCGTAAGGCCGACTGGGGCCACGTTGGGAAGACCCAGAGCTGGTCGGGGCTGCGACACCTTTATCCAGGCATCTCTTGTGATCTAGGTTCATTTATGATGCAGTCTGCTCGCCTCAATCTACCTGCAGTCACCCTAAAGTTCATCTGACATCGCCTTCCTCCGGCCAGGACCCCGAGCTGGTGCGTAACATCTGTAAGTGGGTGAGAGCCGCCGTCAAGATCCCCTTCTTCGCCAAGCTGACACCAAACGTCACGCACATCGTCGACATTGCCAAGGCCGCCAAGGAAGGTAGGACCGATCGCGTTGAGTACGGCGCTGTAACGTAGACTCTACATGTCCTTTATGTTATGTCCTGGGTTGAATGTGACGAGCCACGTTCGCAGATTCTATGCCGAAGCGGTATAACGTGCATGTCTGAACCTTCAGTCGATTTCGTACAGTTTGTAGGGACTGAGGAGCGGAGACAGATGCGTCTGTGACCACTAGGAAATAACCTCGATGCGTTGGAACTCGAATTGATGACTGACTGCGTGTCGACAGGTAACGCGGACGGCGTCACTGCTACCAACACCGTCTCCGGCCTGATGATGCTCAAGTCGAACGCGGTGGCGTGGCCGGCCGTCGGCAGTGACCTGAAGACCACCTACGGCGGCGTCAGTGGCAACGCCATCCGGCCGATCGCGCTGCGGGCCGTGTCGGCCATCGCGCGCGCCCTGCCCGGCTTCCCCATCCTGGCTACGGGAGGTATCGACTCGGCCGAGGCCGGACTGCAGTTCTTGCACGCCGGAGCGTCGGCACTGCAGGTCGGTAAACGTCTTGTGGAATACTGCCTCCGTCTCATGCCGTTCCATGTCCTACATATCAATGGCCTGCTCGGCCGCATTCATTCAGCTGTTCTGTACTCATTCATTCGTTCCCTCAATGCTGGCCATTCAGGGCCCACGTTATATTTACAAATGCGAGACTATGGCGAAGGCTTCGGGCAGTCAATCGACCAGGCTTCTGACTCCCGGGTTCGTTTCAGGTATGCAGCGCAGTGCAGAACCAGGACTTTACTCTGATTGATGACTTCTGCACCGGCCTGCGGGCGCTGCTCTACCTGTCCACGCTGCCGAGTACTGCCGACTGGGACGGTCAGAGCGCGCCCACGCCCAAACATCAGCTCGGAAAACCGGTGCCGGCCATCAGCGAGATCATCGGAAAGGTACGTACGAAGCGCTACTCTATTGCTACAGAGTGCTCATCAGCCCATGCAATATCCACGAAGCGGTCTGCTAGTTAAGTTACCAAACAGTTTGTACCGGATAGACGAGCTATGAGGATGATTTGTCTTGACAGGGCGCACCAGCATCGATGTTATATTGCAGACAGACCAGCTAACGCCGGAGCGATGCACTTTGAGTAGAAATTGATACAGTTACTGTCCCCTCCGCGTATCACCGCCCCCTATTTAGAACACGAACGTTTCCACCACAGAGCCGATCAGTTACACCGCCTGAGTAGCCTACATCATGTACCGCCGCAGGGTCTGGCCAATTTCGGCCCGTACCGCGCTGAGCGGGACCGGGTACTGGCGGAGAAGCACCGCTCGGCCGACCTGCTGGACGGGAAGGCGGAGCCGCAGCGGCCGGCAGTGAAGCCCGCCGCGCCCGTACCCACAATTGGAGAGCTCATTGGCAAGGCGCTGCCCATGATCGGCGCCTACAACGACCTGGACAACCAGCAGCACAAGGTGGCACTGGTGGACGAGGTGAGTGCTGAGAGCTGGGCGGTGGCGGGAAAATGGATGTTCTAAATGGAGGGTAGTCGTCGGAAGGAACAACAGATTAGTTGACCGCCGGTTAAATGAAGTAGATCATTCTTGGTCGGTCATGATTCGTCGACCATCAGTATCCATCCGCATGTCCAATCGCACCCAGTGCTCATGCGACGTTGCCGGCGCTGCCAGGCTAGACAGTGTCAGCTCGCTCTCAGGCGACATTGTCGGTTCGCTCCCTGGCCATCCTAATCCACATACCATAACCGCCAATCATTTCACTGATTCAGCCTCGCCCACTCGCTCCTCAGGACATGTGCATCAACTGCGGCAAGTGTTACATGGTGTGTAACGACTCCGGGTACCAGGCGATCGAGTTTGACCGGCGCACCCACCTTCCGAGGGTGACCACCGACTGCACCGGCTGCACGCTCTGTGTCTCCGTCTGCCCCATCATCGACTGCATCAAGTAAGACGCGCGATGGTAGTCATGCGGCCATGATTGGGCGATGTCAGTCGCATGAGGGGAACTCACTTAATTGGCGGCAACCGCCGTTAGGCATTCTAGTCGAATTTCCCCTCTTTCTTTCTTTCTTTCTTTTCAAATATTCAAATCAAATTTCATCCCTTGGTATGGTAAGGGCGTGCGCTGCTCATTGCGGCCAAAAGTATGACCTAGAAATGACATTGAGTGATCTTGTTTAATGCTGTGCAATTATCACCCTGTATCCATTCACATGTCTAACATGAGTCAGCCACGAAATCACAGGCCGTGCGGTAAGTTGTATGCTCAGGCATGGTCACTGACGTATGTTTTTACCAACAGGATGGTGCCACGGACCACGCCCTACGTACCCAAGCGCGGCCTGCCCCTACCGGCCTAAGCAAGAAGAGGCAACAAAAAAGAGGATCTTGCCGTTCAGAGAGACACAATATCGCCACGGACTTGCCGTATACCCACCGGTGGCATGACGCGGGGTAGATGAGTAAGCATGATGGTAGCGACGAGCGCCAGCAGCGGCCAATAAAGGGGACCAAGAGATTTGATATATGCCTTTATAGTATTAATATCATGATAAAGCTTACATAGTAGCTACTAACACTAGCTTATGTGCTTCTATCGAGGAAGATCGATAGTTCGGTAAACTGCCTTGGTCAAGACTTGGTGCTAGCATATTATTTCTGAGTGCGGGTTCGTTCTAAGGGTAAACGAAACGCTTGTTATGATAATACTCAATATATGATATTATAATTATGCAACATGTTTGACTTTCGACTATATTTCCCAAAGATTCAACGTTGGGAATCTCAAGACAGTTGGAAACTAGAAGCTATACGAAGTCATGTGTGTATTGATGACATATTGAGGCCGATCACAGCATACTCCCCACACGCTCACCCCCGAACGCGTTGCCCTACTTGGTTTTCTTCTTGGTGGGCCTGGCGGCATCTGCGCGCTGCCGTTTCGACGCCTTGGAGCTGGGTTTGGTCGGCTCGGGAGCAGCACTGGGTTCGGGCAGTGGTTCCGGCGGCGGCTCCAGCGGTTCCACCGTGAAACCAGGGATCTGTCGGCAGTAGCGGCGTCCGATTAGACGGTGAGCGAAGGGCGCAGCTCACGGCACATGGACCCAGTTGACCCCGGGCTAATTCGTTAAAGACAGTACTGCGGAGGCACGACATATCGGCGGAGTCAGGGATGCAATACTCGTCGACTGGATATTTATTTTGTTGTACAGTGTGTGCATGAATCAACTAATGAATGAATGAATGAATGAATGCATAATTAACGAAAGAATAAGGCCAACAACCACGGAGCAGATCGAGATGCCAGCGCTGTTGTAGCCGCAGTGCAGTTCGGTGTGGCCTTACCTCTGGTTTGACGAGTTTCATGACGAGCTTCTGCTGCTGGATGTTCCGCGACTCAACCGACAGCTGGACTATGACCTTGTCGAAGGTACGCAGCGTCACCCCGGCCGCAGACTGACAGGGCACCTGGTGAATAACGGACAGCGAGTCACAATGAGGGCCACAGTCGCGCATCAGAACATCGACCGATATAAAATAGTACCACACCCCGGACTATCCCAACCACACACCGCACCTCGTCAGCTCGTCAAACATCAAACTGGCCGTTCCACGTGGACGACTTAACTCCTTTTCGGACCGCCCATTACTTAATGTGACTGGCAGTCCCATCCTGATCATAGACCTTTGTATGCCGAGGTCTACAGAGGTCTATGCATTCATCTAGCCGCGGCCGCTCACTGACACAAGCGTCTTTGAGCACTGTTCCTCTCCCTTCTCTCTATTCATCTCGTCGAAACGCCCTCACTCGTCGGCATACTCGTCGAACAGACTCACCTGTTCGTCGTAGACGAACTGCACTGTGGCGTTTTGTCGCTCGGAGCCGGGCAGCAGGATGGTGCTCTCCAGGCCGTACTTGGGTACCAGCACGGAGACGGCGTTCTGCTTCACCTGCAGCACGTAACCCTCCTCCTCCCGCACACGCTCTCTGAAAAATAACTGCGCGCGGACAGAGCAAATAGTCAGCCGAGAAAACGGACGGTAGAGACCGTAAACTGATATGGTTTCGACAGAACGCGTAACGGAAAAGAATAATTTTTCACATACACTTTGGTCTTCCCGCAACTCAACAAAATTGCAAAAATGAAGTCATTATTTTGTGATGTGTGGCGTATCGGACAGGTCGGCCACACCCAACACACGACCGTGTCCAGATAGAACGTTACGATCAACAGGCAATAGATGAGCGTGACACCAAAACCACCCCAAGCTACGTTATTGCTGCCGAACGCGGACACTATGAGCGTTCATTGCCACCCTGTCGACATCGCGACAGCAAGCTCCTGGACAACGAGAACAAAGCCCCTATCACGTTCAGTAAACAGGTGCTGGCTCCCAGCCATTGCTGCGCTACTCACGTGTGTGTGCAGTCCGACTGAGGCGCGCTGCGAATACTGGGCCATCCGGTGCCGGTAGTTGATGTGGTTGCAGGTGTTCTGCGTTCGCCGCTTGTCGAGCAACTCCTTGTAGGTGGAGTCCTGGCCGGTGACCACGGCCAGCAGACGGTGCACGATGATATCGGCGTACCTGCGAATAGGAAGCAGGGTACGGTGTTACAAGGGCGGCACACCGCAGCTGCTGCGACGATGCCTCAGATAATGCCACCTCGGGCAGTTCACGTGTGTGATGCAGTTGGACACTGTCTCACTCGGGGTAGCAGCCTGATATAATGAAGTCTGATGGACGCCTCCCTGTCCATAGTCGTACTCCTCACCTCATGAGCTGATGTGTCTTTACCGCCGGGTGGGTGACGAAGTGGGTGTAGAATTGTAGATGCGTGCCCTTAGTTCTTACCTTCGGATGGGTGACGTGAAGTGCGTATAGATGGGTGCCGCCAGTCCGTAGTGCTGGTACAGCTCCCTGCTGACGGTTCCCGTACAAAAGTACACCGCCTGCATCATACAGCGTGTGGCCATGATGCGCAGCATCGTGTTGAAGTAGGGCGTGGCCGGCTTCACGGCGGAGTTCAGAGACTCCTGCAGACGCTTGTTGGAGCTGACGTCCAGCTCGAAACCCTGTCGGATAAAGACGACGCCACATGTTCACTAACGATACACTTGGCTCGCAAGTCGCACTTTCTCTCCACTGGTGCAAGCAAGCACAGCAGCGTAACAAATGCAAAAATGTAGCCAAACTTCAATGTGAGGTGCAAACACGGCAAGTGTAATCTGAGTAATCTAATAATACTACCGCTCGTCTGAAGGCTGTGAGCGGCCCCGCACGATGCAGTACCTGCAGTCTGGCGGCCTTGATGAGCGGCAGGAAGTTGCTGGGCGGCGGTTCGGGGTGCCGCCGCAGCAGCGCGCACTCTGGGAACTCGTGCAGGATCTGCTCGGCCACCGACACGTTGGCCAGCAACATGAACTCCTCCACCATCGAGTTGGTCTCCAGCAGCTGCTTGGACTGGACGTCGATCGGGTCGTGCGTCTCCGAGTCGATGTGGAACCGGATCTCCGGAGAGGCCAGCAGCAGCGCGCTGTCGGAGCAGACAGAACGTGTCATAGTTCAATGCCAAAGGGAAGCGGGAAGCCAGCTACCAGGTGAGCGCCAGACTTAGCAACGCATCATACAATATTATTTCATAGCTTATGAGAATGACCAGCGCCCATGATCTACATAGGAGAGCATACAGCGATGTTGACATACAATGCCCTCACTGACTGAACCTGTCATCGGCTGATTACCCGTTAATGATGTAATATAACAAATCGACACTGAAATCGACCGGTGAAACCAAGCTAAATGCCTAAGTCGGTCGGCGGTACGCACCCGTCGTCAAGGCGGCGCTGTTTGAGCTGCTTGGCCAGCATGTTGAGGCCGCGCAGCGATATCGACACGGCGTCCTGCTGGGTGACATCGTCAATCTTCAGCTGAGCCTCTGCGTACGTCAGCGCTGCGCGGGACCTGAGGAGATCGGGAACAGTGACGGGACATTCTCCGGAAAGTGTAGAATAAACTCCATCCCAGCCCACTACCCATCTATTGTCACCTTGACACCATTATTAGAAACATAAAAATATGACTGTTGTGGAGTACTTGTAAACAGTCCTAAAGTGAAAAGTGATAAGCAAGCGACACATCTTATCATGTTCCGTTTCAAATACGTTAACAAATCCTGTCATTGCAAATGTTCGATAGGAATTAAAAAAATGATCAAAGAGTCACCAACTAAACCGGCACACAAGAAGAAAACAGTTTGCCCACCTGATGATGGACTTGTGGAACTTTGTGTTGACGATCTCCGCCTTGGGAGTAATCTCCCAGATGCAGGAGAAGGCGAACCGGGTCTCCCCGCCGCGCAGCGAGCACAGGTTCGAGCTGAGCAGATCTGAAATGGCACCAAACATCGTTTGAGTTATAAAGACAAATAGGGTTACTGATTTCGAATGATTATTATCAAAGCATGCTGCTTCATAGCGACTGCGAGTAACCTGTGCGGGATGTAAATACTTAAAAAGATATACAAAATGAGCCTCTCTCCGCGACTTCGGAGGGAAATGTGGTAGATGGCAGATAAAAGATGAGTAGATGACTGGACAGAAGTGGAGTGAACGGGGACAGAGGTCATCGAGGGTATGGGATGGGCGAAGGCCAGTACAGCATGAGAGGCTGAGCAGGCTTGGCCAGGGCATGCCGCACCTGGCACCATGTCGATGCGTTTGTCGATCAGGTAGACGGTGGTACCCCGGTTGGCCGCCTCCTTGTCGATGGCGGTGCCCGGCCGGATGAAGTGCGACACGTCCGCAATGTGGACGCCCACCTGCCGCCAGACACGGTCAGACAGTGCCCAAGCACACAGCAGAGCGCTACACACAACGGTCACCGAAAATCGGGCTTGTTAAAACTCGTACGTAGGTATATTTATAAGAAAAGTCTTCATTGACAAAGTGATCCCTGCCTGTAGTACCATTTGCACCATGCAACATTTAAGCCACTGTACCTTAGTTCAGACTAGTGAAGAAATCTGACACATACAGAATGGTCATTTGGAACTGAAATAAAGTAAGACGTGATTAAGGACAGTGTCAGTCACTGTCAACATTCAGCATAGCGAAGTGACACGTCATTGGAAAGGCAATTGCTGGACATTTGATGTACGACCAATCAAAAATGCGATCCCTTCTTACTACGCTCAGAGCAGGCGCTCGAAATGACCGCTCTGTTTCGGGCAGCGCTGCTCGGCCCGGCACTGGGACCGGTATGCCATTCGCCGCAGCTGCTCCTCGCTGATGTTGCGGGCAAATAATTTCACTATGCCCTAAAAAAATGCCTGGACAAACATCAGGCCCTAATCCTTGAGGTAACAAGAATATGATGGATTAATTTGCGCACAACATCAGTAAGGACCAGTTGCGGCAAATGGCATACCGCTCTCAGCGCCAAGCCGAGCAGCGCTGCCCAAAACAGGGCGGCCATTTCGAGCGCCTGCCCTGAGCGTAGGATGAAGGGATCGGATTTCCCTTTTGGTTTTACGTCAAATGTCCAACAATTGGTTTCTCAATTATGTGTCACTTCGCTACGCTGAATGTTGACATATTTTGTTTGTTTGTTTTGTTGGGTTAGGCCCTTTCGGTCCAATGAGACCATTTCAGAGCCGGGAGGATGATAGGATGTAGGGGGAGACATTGGTCTGGGCAGGCACCCTAGTGAGTCACCGGGGCTGAGCCCGTC